TGTTCGGCCTCCATTTGGAGATTGTCACCACTGAGCCTTCACAATAGAGGACCTGAATGGAGAGCAGATAAGCTGCCTATTCGGGATCTGCGCACAGAACTGTGACCGCATGTCTACCCCTTTGTTGGTAGGCGACCTTGGGTTCCGTGTCCCTCAGATTTTCTATGGTTTTGAGGGCTTCATGAACTCTTTTTTTTTTTTCTCTGTCTGCGACCAGTGTTTGATTTTCGCGGGGAACGAGCACACCACAGCGTGAGTCTCATAGAATTCGTCAAGGACAAGTAGGTGTTCTTTGGGGTATTCCCAAACTTCCACTTCTTCTTCTTCTCCTTTCACCATTATTTTGGAGATGATTGGGGTGGCTTTCGTTTCTCTTACCATCAGATTTAGCACCTCCTGACTTGGATCCTGTTCCTGCTGGGGCTGTTTTTTGGCCCTCCCGCTTGCTGAGCTCGAGGCCTCTTTTGTTGTTGTCGCTGAGGTCGAGGCAGCTGCTGAGGACTAACAGTTTGTCATGTTGGAAGTGATTGCTGTTTCTGCACTAGCTTGGTGTTGAAAAAAGCAGCGTTTGTCCTCCCCACCTATGGATCGAGAGTAAGGCTCAAGGGCTTGCTTTTCCTATTTTTATGAAAAAAAAAAAAAAAAAAAAAAAAAGTCAGGGTTCCGCCTCCCCACCTGGGGATCGTGAGTAGAGTTATGCCGTGACGATTGGAAAGGAGGGTTGAGCGATCAAGAGGTCAGCTCAAGTGACGACGGACAGCAAAGGAAGAGTCAGTTTGCGAAAAAGAGGGCAGCGTACCGCCTCCCCACCTGGGGAACGAGAAAAATGTTCTGCTTCTGGAATCGATGGACAGCAATGGGAAAAGCCAGTTTGCGAAAAAAATGGCAGCGTGCCGCCTCCCCACCTGGGGAACGAGAAAAATGTTCTGATTCAGGAAGTGACTGAAAGAGAAAAATGTTATGGCAGTGGAAGTCGGTTTGCAAAAAAAATGGCAGCGTACCGCCTCCCCACCTGGGGAACGAGAAGGATGTTCTGCTTCAGGAAATGGCTGAAGGATCGAATTTCCGTATCAGAGGCGACAGTAGCGATTTCAAAAGATGGTCTTTCGCGGAAATAAGCGCAGAACCGGCCTGAAATTGGATGACTAAGTGATGCTAGAAGCAAGGATTTCAAGTGAATAGAAAAAATGCAAAACACATTTTAATAGTAATGAATCATTGAATGATAAATAATATTGGTATTAT